CGCCTCGGCCTGTGGGCGGCACTTCCCAGGCAGTCCACGACACAGTGGATATGGATGTAAGTCTTGCCCGCCCGTGGGACCCCCTCTCGGCGGCGAGCCCGGGGGGGAAGAAGAAGGAGAAGGGGCAGGTCTTCTCGGAAGGCTCGGAATCACCCCGGCCTTCTGAGAGGTTTTCTGGGCCTTCCCCGAAGACGCCGAAAACTTCTTGAAGGCGCGAGGGCTTCTGAGAAGTCCCGCCGCCTTCTGAGAGGGCCTTCTCCTTCTCATCTCCCCCCCCCGGCGCACCACCGAATTTGCGGGTCATAACTCGGGTCTCCTGCGGCCGTTCGGGACGATCCGGGCACCCCTGGAACGCCCTAGGCGAGGCGCAGCTGCTGGCAAGCACCCCGAGGCTGGACCACCGCCGAGGACCGACGAACACGTCCGAAAACCTCACGGGGAGACCGCCCTCTCCCGAGCAGGCCTTCTCCTTCTCGCTTCCCCCCCCCCCGCGCCCCCGCCGGCCCTCGTGCCCGCCGCCGCGGATCCCACGGAGCCCCGGCCCCCCGCGCCCTCGCGGGCTGCGGCCCGGCTGCGGCCCCGGGGCGAGCCGCAGGCGCCCGCGGCGCAGCTGGCGCGGGAGGCGGCCGCGGGTCGGGTCGTCGGCGGGAGGGCGGCGCGGATCCTCCTCCCCCTCCTCCCTCCTCCTCCTCCCCCCTCCTCCCTCCTCCTCCTCCTCCCTCCTCCTCCCTCCCCTCCTCCTCCTCCTCCTCCTCCTCCTCCTCCTCCTCCTCCTCCTCTCCTCCTCCTCCTCCCTCTCCTCCTCCTCCTCCTCCTCCTCCTCCTCCTCCTCTCCTCCTCCTCCCTCCTCCTCCTCCTCCTCCTCCTCCTCCTCCTCCTCTCCTCCCCCTCCTCCTCCTCCTCCTCCTCCTCCTCCTCCTCCTCCTCCCTCCTCCTCCTCCTCCTCCTCCTCCTCCTCCTCCTCCTCCTCCTCCTCCTCCTCCTCCTCCTCCTCCTCCTCCTCTACCCGGGAGGAGGGGGGAGAATATCACTGCGGCACCATGAGATAGGAAGGGTGTTTTTGTCGCTAGCCTCGCTCGACGATGGGGCCGCTCAGAGGTGCTGGAGCGTCCGTGCACACGCCTGAGCCTCGAGCGTGAGAGGCTACGGAACAGAGAGCGGCACCATCCAGCCTCGGGAGGAGGGGGGAGGTCCCCCCGAGGCGAGGGGCCGGGGGACCAGCCTCTAGCCCATGACCCATGACCCTGGATGTCCGAACGCTGGGGAACCAGCGGGAGCTCACCCACTGGGAGGAGGTGGCCGCAGGAGGGAGGGCGAGGAGGATGCGCGCTGACGCTACGAGCTCTGTCCCCGCGGCTGGCCTGAGCGACGCGGGAGAGGGGGGAGTGGAGGTGGGGGAGGGAGCGACGAAGAGGAAGAGCAGGAGGAGGCTGATCAAGGGGAGGCACAGCAGGAGGAATGGGGGGGAAAGGGACAAAGGGGGAAGATGAGCGGGATGGGTAAGGATGAAGGGGGAGGAGGAAGGGGAAAAGGAAGGATGAGGAGCAGGCGGAACAAGGACCAAGAGGGAGAAGGGTAATGATGATGACGGGGATGCAGGAGGAGGAGGAGGAGGAGGAGGAGGAGAAGGAAGAGGACGAGGAGGAAGAGGAAGAGGCGGAGGAGCGGGAGCATATTGAAAGGGAATTAGCAGGATGAGCAGGAGAAGGAAGAGGAGGAATATGGAGGACAGGATAGGGAGTATGACAATGATAATGAAGGCGAAGGGATAAATTGAGCGAGGAGGAGTTGGGAGAGGAGAAGGACGGAACATTCACACATGGAGAACGACGACCAGGACGAAGGGAACAAACGACGAAGATTGATTTCCGTCCCCCCCTCCCCCCTCTCCCTCCTTCTGATGCATCTCCCCTTCACAGACACCCACTTATTCAACAACCCTTGTTTCATCACCCCACCCCCTTCGTCCCTTCCCCTCCATCCGCTTCCCTCAGATTCCCGCTAACCAGATTCCCCATCCACCTTATCCAGCCGTTCCGACAAGAGTCCGTTCGGCGCCGAATGGAATTGCATTCGGCGAATCACCGCGCAAGCGCCGCATGGGCTCAAATCTGCGCGAGCTAAACGTGTAGAAAACATTACAGATAGTAGGTCGCGTCGCCGGATGGACTCTGTTTTCGCAGGATGGACTCCCGACTCCCTGTGCCAGATGGGCTCTGTTTTCTCGCCTGATGGATTTTCTGAAAACAGACACCATTAGGCGCGCAGGATTGGCTCTAATGTCAGCCGGATGGGCTCTCTTCCAGCTGGGTGGGCTTTATCCCGCTGGATGGGTTCTAACTTCGCCGGATGGGCTCTGTGAGAAGGCTTCGCCGAATGGACTCTTTGAAATTCGAAATGGGTTGTTGGGACAAAAACAAGCAATTCTTATTTGTTGAGTGCCCTCGCTCCAAAAAAACATCCTTATGCTGGCACCTCTCGGACGCACCTGGCGCTCGGCGTTCCCGCGTATTCCTGCAAATCGCCAAGTGCGCACGGACTGTCACGTGTGTTTCCTTGTGGTTGTTTCGTACGCCTGTGGTATGCAATGTAGTCATGAGGGTGCTCGTGGGGGGTCCCAAACAAACGTGGAATGAATTCACGTATTTCCCTAAGGATCCGCGTAGGATTCCCAAAGATCCCTAGGGCTTCCCTGGGGATCACCCCCATCCCTCGTTCCCCTGGAATCCGCTGAGGACCCCCAAGGACCCAGAAGGTTTCCGTAGGAACCCGCCCAGGATCCCCAAGGATTCCTAAGATCTCCCTGGAGATCCTTTCAAGGTTGACCCCGAAGGTTTCCTAAGGAATCCGCCCAAGATCCGCAAGGATTCCTAGGGCTTCCCTACAGGAATCCGCTAAGGATCCCCAGGGACCTTAGGGTTTCTCGAGGGTGCCGCTCAGAATCCCGAAAGATCCTTGGGGGGATCCGCGAAGGGATCCCAGGCTTCCCTAAAGATCCGCTGAGGATCCCCAAGGATTCCTAGGGTTTCCCTTGGGACCGCTAAGGATCCCTAAGGATTTTTAGAGTGTTCCTGGGAGGCGCGCTAAAGATCCCAAAGGGTCCTAAGGCTAACCTCAAGGAGCACCGAAACATCCCCACGGATCCCCAAGGCTCCCTCAGGGTTCTGCTAAGGATCCCGAAAGATCAGTGTGGCCCCCTATAGATCCGCAAGGGATCCTCAATGATCTCAGGAGATGGGTCCTGAGGATCCGCTGAGGTGGTGGCGTGGTGGGGTCGTGGGGTTGCGGGGCAGCGGGGTCTTGGGGCAGTGGCGTGAGGTCGCGAGTTCGCGGGGCCGCGGGGTGACATGGCGGTGAGGTGGTGGGTGGTGGGGTCGCGGGGTCGTGAGGACTTGTGGTCGCGGGGTGGCAGGGTCGTGGGAGCGCAGGGTGGCACGGGGTCGTCGCAGGGGTCGTGGGAGCGCAGGGGTCGAGGTGACTTGCAAGCAGCGCGCACAACGGGGCTATCCGCCGAATGGACTCGGATGCCCTGGTGGTCATTTTGCCAGCCGGATGGGCTCTGATGCCGCGGGATGGACTCTAACTTGGCGCCGGATGGACCCAAACGCCGCCGGATGGACTCTATCGGTTCGCCGGATGGACTCTCTTTTACGTCGGATGGACTCCTTTGTCGCCGGATGGGCTCTAATCTCGAGAGTCCACTCGGCGCCGGATGGACTCCATTTTTTTGGGGGGGGGGTTTGCGGGGATCTCCCACGCCGCGCGCTCGATGGAGTCCATTCGGCGCGCCGGATGGGCTCCTTTCGGAAGGGCCGGGTACCTTCACCTTCTGGACCCCCCCCTGCTCCTCTGAGAACTCTGACCGAAGGCCACTCGATACATACGTGTATATGTATATATATATATATATTTATATATCTAGATATATGTATATATATATATGTGTGAAGGAGAGAGAGAGAGAGAGAAGAAGGGAGACAGAGAGAGAGAGAGAAAGAGAGAACGAGAGAGAGAGAGAGAGAATGACATACTGAGAGAGATGGTAGAGAAAAAGAGCGGGAGACAGATAGAGAGAGAGAGAGAGACACAAAAAAACAAAAAAACACAAAAGAGAGCGAGAGAGAAAGAGAGCGTGGGGGGGAGAACGAAGTAGGAGGAGGGCAACAATGAGCCCAATGGTAAACCACGCATGTTGCACATGCCGCCAACGCACAACATGGGCGACCCCCCTACCAACCACTGTCCTTTGCGTTTCCGCTAAACCGTTCAACATCAGTACCGTAGTCGAGGGGCTCTGACATTAGACGAGCGTAGAGCACTCTGGCAGGCGAGCAAGCTGGAGCCTCGTATGCCACTGCGCATGAGAGCAGCAGGCGGGGCTCCCCATAGCTGCAACCTGGTATGACTCGAGCGCATTGAATGTATGCACTGTGTGCACACGTCTGCCCCTAATGGCGAACGCTTGCACCGATGGTGGCAACTGAGAGGAATCGGCTCCTCACAGTCCTGGTCTCCCCCCCTGCTACTCGGGATCTTCACTAGATGGTGGAGGACGAGAAGCATGAGGAGAAGGAGCGAGGAGGGAGGAGGGATATGAGGTTGGATGCCGGTATTCCCCCCTAGTCGACCGTGTCCCCACCCCCTGTCTGGTGTTAGGTCGGGCATGTCCCCCTACAGGCGGATTTTGGAAGACAACTTTTCAACACGTCAAGAACTATACAAACATAGCAACAGAAAATAAAGAAAAATCGTCCCCTATATCATGGTTTCACTATTTTTGCATTTTCCTCCAGCAGAGGGACGCGCCCGACTTACTTGCCATCGCTCGGACGTCCAATTCCTGTGCATTTGTCGGTTTCGTGCGTGTGTTTTCTGCTCGATGGTCCAGGATGGTCCTCGATGCACACGTCCGAGCGATGCCAAGCTTAGGTTTGGTATGTGGTCGTGGTCGCCCGCCCCCCCTCCCCCTCCGCTCCCCCCCCCCCTCCCCAGCCCCCATGCGCAGTGAACGGCCTCGTCGAGCTCGCGGGCGCGGGCGCGCGACTCGCGGCGGGGGGCGCGCGCGGAGCGCGCCGCGCCTCCTTGGCCGGGTCGAAGCCGGGCACCAGGCCCTCCGGGGTTCAGCGGCCGCGCGGGGTCGGGGCGGGTCCCCCTTCTGCTCGCCCTGCTCCCCCTCCTCCCCCCCTTAGCCCCTCCTCCTGCCCCCTCCTCCGCCTGCTACTCCTGCGCCTCGCGTTCCTCCTCCAGCTCTTCTTCCACCTCTTCTTCCTCCTCGTCCTCGTCCTCTCGCGTTCATCCTCCCCCTCTTCTTCCTCTCTTCTTCCTCCTCGCTCTCGTCCTCGTCGTCGTCCTCCATCCCTCTTCCTCCGCCTCATCGCACCCCGAATCCGGTAGAAGGGGCGGACCGGGCGCTTCGCCCGAGAATTCCCCACAAGGTACGACCCCGAGACGTAAAGTTTGCAAAAATTCCACGGATAGAGGGCGGGTGATTTCCAAAATGTGGCTCTCGCCTTCAAGCCGCGCACACTCGTCTCAAACACTTGCAAGAGCATCGCGGATGGAAGGCGGACCGTTTTCAACATGCGGCGCTCGCTTCAGCGCCGCGCACGTTCGTCTGGACACTTGCAAGAGCTTCGCGGATGGAAGGCGGGCCGTTTTCAAAATACGGCTCTCGCCTCAGCGCAGCGGATGTCGGGCCGTTTTCAAAATGCGGCTCTCGCCTTAGCGCCGCGCACATTTGTCTTAAACATGTGTCAGAGCTTCACGCACGGAGGAACCAGGCCTCCAAAACTGCCCAAGCGGCTCCCAAGAGGGGCCCAAGAGGGGAACACGAACGGACGTTTCGAGCCTTCCAGCCCAGAGGCTCTCGAGGTCCCCCCCGGACGCTCCAAGAGGCCCCCAAGAGGCCCCCCAGAAGCCCCCAAGACCCCTCCAAGAGCCCCCACGAAAGGCATCCCAACAGACCCTCGCGAGCACGGCTGAATGAGAATGCGGTAGGCGTCCTGTGGCCTTGCCGCATGCTCCCCGGCCCTTGGCTGGGGCGAGCTGGGCCAGCCCGCTCAGAGGCCGCCGTGGCAGCGCAGTGCTGCCGCTGCGCGCCGTGCCCGGGCCTCAGCCCGAGGAGCCCCCCCCCCCCCGGAGGAAGAGGGGGCGCCGACCTGGCCGCCGCCGTGGCCCCAGCTGGGGGGGGGGCGGGAGGGGGTGGCCGCCCTCCGCCGATGCCACCGCGCTGGCCGCCGAGACGCCGGCCGGCGCTCCCTCCGCCTGGCGGCCGGCGGCCCTCCGTCTGCACGGGGGGGCTGGGCCCCCCCCCCCCACGCACGCGTGACCCCGTCGGGGCACCACGCCTGGACACCAGACCCACCATCCTTCTATTGCATCTTCGGGGGACCTTGTCTGTCCCTTCGCGCCCCTATCAACGTCGAATCCGTGTCGAATCCATGTCGGGCTCGTCGAGTCTGTGTCGAATCCGTGTCGAATCCGTCCCAAATATACGTTGAGTCCGTATCAAGCCCGCGTCTGGCACCCGAAAAGACACGAATTTTGGGGACGCACGAGGTCCCCCGAAGATGCAACGTAACCATCCCGCCGCCCAGGAGGCAAAGGGGGGGAGGGAGAAGGAACACGCCACACGCACGGAAGAAGAGCCGCTTCCACCGGCCGCCGCAGAGACCGCTTCCGCCGCTGCCCGCCTGGACGCGTCCACGAGCCACCGCCGCGGGGCACCAGGGCCACCAGTTCCGCCCTCCGCGGACGTGCTTCCGCCATCCACCGCCCTCATAAGCATCCAATAGGCCCCTGAGCCACAGCACAAGCACGGTGGCAGCATGGGCCGAAGGCCATTTATCTAATACGTATAAAGATAGAGAGAGAGAGAGAGAGAAACAAAAAGAAATAAATAAAGAAAGAGAGAGGGAGAGAGAGGGAGAGAAAGAGGGAGAAAGAGAAAGAGAGAGAGAGAGAGACAGAGAGAGAACGAGAGAAGGAGCAGTGTGTTCTGGCTCTTCGGGGGGCCTCTATAGGAAACCTCGGGAGGGCTCTTGAGCCCTCTGGCCTGCGCCTGGCGCTGGGGAGGGCATAAGCCGCCAGGCCCCCGACCACGCGACGTGCCTGGGTTAGGGGGCCACTTGCGAACACTACCCCTACCCCCCACGATTTCTGAGGGGGAGGGTGGGGTTCACTTCGCTCGGGAGCTCCTGAATAAAGTGAACCCCACCCTCCCCCTCAGAACTCGTGGGGGGTAGGAATAGGGTTCGCAAGTGGCCCCCTATGGGTGGGGGGGGCGAACTTGGCCGAAACATCGTGGTTCGCGGGCCTCCGCTGGGCTTTTTGACTCCGCCCCGGCCCCTTCGAAGTACATGCATGGCACATGTTTCACAAAGTGTGCCTCCTAGAGGCTGAACTCGGACCCGGGGCAACCAGAGAACGGTCCAGAACGAGATGCAGGTCCTGGCACAGGGTCGGGACATGTGGTAACCACGCATGGGAGAAATCACGGCATCGGAGGTCTGGGCCCGTGTCGCGCCAAAAGGAACACAAGAGTGAACGAGCCAGAACCACATCGCCTACTTAGTGACGTCCGCTTACACCGTGACATGCGCTCGGAAGACGATCGAGCTTGTTCGGCCTATGCGCGAGGATGCGAAGAATGGAGCGAGATGAGGAAGGATGATGAGAAGGCGGGGGGAGTGGAAGATGGAAATCAGGAGAGAGGAAGAGGGAGAAGAGGAAGTAAAGGAAGGGGGCATGAGGAAGCGGACATGACAGTGAGGGGGGAGGCCGGGGACAAAAACTGCAAACGAGGAGCAGTAGGAGGGAAAGAGAGGGAAGGGAGGGAGAAAGAATTGGAGCAGGAGGGATGGGGGGAGGCCTTCTGCGACCCGAGAAAGGGAGGAGCAGGAGCAAGGGTGTGGCATGCCTTCTTCGCCTTCGTCTGGGCCTCCTTCTGCACCCAGTCCTGCTCAACGGGGCGAGGAGAAGGAGGAGGAGGAGGGGGAGGAGGAGGAGGAGCAGCAGCAGCAGCAGCAGGGGAACGGGAGAAGGAGGAGGAATAATCATGGCATGAGCAGGTCGAGGCGGAGGGCAAGGCGAAGGAGCAAGCGAGAGGAGAACTAAGATGTGAAGTGAGAGGATGAGGAGTGCGTCGACGCGCGTGCCCCACTTCACTACGGCCAGGTCGTGCATGTCCCCTACAGGCGGATTTTGGAGGACAGATGAAAAATAGTCAGAACAGATTTCCAACAATCATCAACAAATACCAGAAAATCGCCCCAGACTACTTGCTGACTCAATTTGCCTACTCCTCCCGTAGAGGGACACGCCCGCCATTACCACCACGGACAGGGCCCACCCGAAAAAGGTGAGGGACCCGCGGGCGTGACACGGGCCCAGGACAACGCGCACGCGTGGGGGCCGTGCCCCAGAACACCCGTTTGCGTGGGCATCGTCAATGCGAAGGGGCCCAAGGACACAATACACACAAATAACACATTTCCCATATTTTCCCAGATGTTCTTGGTTTTTGTCTTCCCCCCCACTTCCGATATTTTTCCATATTTTCCGGGGAATCGACGATTAATTTTGTCTGCGTGTGTTTTCCCCTCCTGACCCACGAGATACAGAACGGTAGCCCGAAACCAAAGAGGTACCGCTACCGCTACTCCGCGGACCTCTCCCGGACTGCGTTCTGACCAGGATTTCGAGGCGACTCCAGCGGTGGCGACGAGGGCCCCGAGGAGGCCCAAACAGGGGGAAACGGGCGACGGGTAGCGGGATGGGGACCTTTTCCTCTTCTGAAATTCTGGAAGGCAGCGGTGGCGCGGCGATACCCCACAGCGCGCCCGCAGAGGCCAGCGGCTCTGAGGAAAGGACGGATCGGTCGGAGCCCCTCGGCCCACGGCCCTGCAAGGGACAGAGGCGGGACTAGAAAGGAGCTGGGCAGCCACATACGTGCGGACCCTGCCCCTGCAGGCAGGACTCCAAAAACACCAGTGGAGGTTCAGAAATTGAATGATGCCTGCAGCGAAGTGAACCCCAGCGGAGGTGTCCCATACCTCAGCGTCGATCGGACCCGCAGGGGTAGGGTTCGCAAAATTGAAGAACCCAATTGGACTTCACAAAGCGTTTCAACCATCGGGTTAACATTCGACCGCACAGTGTGGGAAGTCGTGGTGGGCCTGACACTGCCGACCGCCCTCCATCCCAGCAGCCGGCTGTACATTTGGATGTTAGGGAATTGTGCGGGGCCCCGGCAAAACCGCGAATCTGAAAAGCTGGCCGTACTACCATTGCATGTGATCATCGTAGTATGCTGTCGGGTGACATAGAAGAGAGAACAGCGGCATAACATAATGTCCCTGTGGTCCGGGCAACCGTCTTGGATCGGCGCTGAACGGCGGCGGAGGCGCCGTCACAGGGGGCTCGGCGCCGATGCAAGAAACCCGCGCGGACCTAAGGAATTATGCTCATGCAGGACGAGGAGGAGGAGGAGGAGGAGGAGGAGGAGGAGGAGGAGGAGAAGGAGGAGGAGGAGGAGGAGGAGGAGGAGGAGGAGGTGGAGGAGAGGAGGAGGAGGAGGAGGGGGGAGGGGCCACGAGACCAGGCGCGCGCCGCAAGAAACCCGCAGCTTTTCTTCTTCGATGACCAATCCCGGGGGCGTGCCAGGCGGGAGCCTCATGCGGGCCCGGTCCTGCTGGCCACCCCGCCGTCGCGGTTGGGCGGGCCCCGCAGCTACGGAGCGTGAGGAATGCTGGAGGAGGAGGAGGAGGAGGAGGAGGAGGAGGAGGAGGAGGAGGAGGTTGAGGAGGAGGAGGAGGAGGAGGAGGAGGTGGAGGAGGAGGAGAAGGAGGAGGAGGAGGAGGAGGAGGAGGAGGAGGAGGAGGAGGGTGAGGAGGAGGGGGGGGAGCGAGCAACACGAGAATGAGGAGCGAGACAGGGGGGGGGCCGGACGGGAATGTAAGGAGACAGGGAGGGGTCAAGGGAGGAGGTGGGAGGGGAGGGCGAGGGAGAAGGGGGAGGAGGAGGACCAGCAAGAGACCAAGAGAGAGAAAGAGAGAGAGAGAGAGAGCGCGAGAGACAGAGAGGAGGAGAGATACGGAGAGAGAGAAAGAGAGAGAGAGAGAGAGACAGAGAGAGAAGGGAACGCATAGAGGGAGAGAGGGTAAGGGAGAGAGGAGGGGGGGAAGGGGGGGGGACGGGGCGGGAAAGGGGTAGGAACAAGAAGGAGGATGGGGGAGGGGTGGGGCAGCCGCAGTCCTTTTCCCCGGGCTGCGCGGCCCCCGTGGCCGGCGGTGCCGCGGGCTGCCTGGGACGAAGCGGGCGGAGAGCAGAGGGAGGAGGCAGAGGAGACAGAGGAGGAGGAGGAGGAGGAGGAGGAGGAGGAGGAGGAGGAGGAGGAGGAGGAGGAGACAGACAAGGAAAGGAGGAGGAGGAGGAGGAGGAGGAGGAGGAGGCGGAGGAGGAGGAGGAGGAGGAGGAAGAGGAGGAGGAGGAGGAGGAGGAGGAGGAGGAGGACCGGGACGAGGAGGAGGAGGAGGAGCCGGGCAAACCCAAAGCGCATCAAGGACGTTGCGGTAAGCCCTCCCTCCGAAATCCCTCCCCTCAGGTCCCTGCGAGAATCTATTCTCACTGCGGGAGGTCTGTTAGAACACGACCGTCTGAGAATCGCCAGCCGTGCAAAATCACAATTCCTGGCACTTCAACGCCGCGAATAAACTGTACTGTTGAGTCATGACGACCCTGAGTCGCGCCGAAACACCAGTCCCGGGACCTCAGCACCGCGAATCTACGCGACTGCTTCGCCCTCACGGCCCGACGTCGTGCCAAGATCGAATCCTGGGCCGTCAACCCTGAGACACCCTGAAACCGCTGTAAGCTTTTGCCACGGAGTTGCGCGGCGTTGGCGCGAGACCGGCATTCTGAAAGCGGCCCGCCCGCCAATCCTTGCAACCTTTACATACGAATGTGCGCGGCGCTGAGGCGAGAGCCCCGTGTTGACAAGGCGCCGCCCCCCCATCCATGCAGCCCTTCCAAGCACTCAAGACGAGTGTGCGCGGCGCTGAAGCGAAGGTCGCGATCTTGAAGACGACCCGCCCGCCTTCCTAGCAACCCTCGCATGCTTCCAAAACGAATCTGCGCGGCGCAACAGCGAGAGCCACATGTTGAAAACGCTCCGCCGTCCATCCGTCCACCCACAAACGGCGAAGAACTCTCAGGCGCAACGCCCGACCCGCCCTACGGACACGTCTCTGGTTGCGACAGGGAGGAGATATTTATGTGAGGGAAGAAGGATGGGGGAGGAGACTGCCAATGGTGCAAAGGCATCGATTTGTTTGAGGGAAGAGGGTAAGAAGGAGCGGGGGGGAGAAGGAAAATAGGGAGGGAGGAAGGACTGGGGGAGGAGGAGATATATGTATCTATAGGAGGGGAAGAAGGATCGGGGAGGAGAGGGAGGCAGAGCCGAAGGAGGAGACTGCCAAAGGGGGAAGGCCGAAGGAGGAAGGACGTTGCCGTCGAGGCAGGAGGGAAGGGAGGGCTGGCAGGGAAGGGCTGGCAAGCGACGGTTCAGGAGGGCGGGGGCGGCCGCGGGAGGCCCCGCCGCACCCCTCGCGGCCCCGCAGGAGTCGACGACGACGATCGCGCTGCCCCGAGGAGGAGGAGGAGGAGGAGGAGGAGGAGGAGGAGGAGGAGGAGGAGGAGGAGGAGGAGGAGGAGGAGGAGGAGGAGGAGGAGGAGGAGGAGGAGGAGGGGGGCAAAGGAGCCGACAGGGGGGCTGGAGACGAGAGGGAGGGAGGCTGATTGTGCTCGCGCCATGCCGGACATCCTGCCCCTCCCATCCGTCCCCTCCCGCTGCGCTGACGCTCTGTCTGTCCGCCGACGGGTGTCGTGGCACGTCTGGAACCACCAACATGACCCCTATCGCTCTGTGAGCGGGCAGAAGAAGGAGCTGAGTACGTTGGAGGAGGTGGAGGAGGAGATGGCAGATGAGCAGGAGGATGAGCAAGATTGTGGGCAGGATGAGGACGGAGCAGGACGAGGAGGAGGAGGAGGAGGAGGAGGAGGAGGAGGAGGAACAGCCGCAACAGCAGGAGCAGGAGCAGGTGGAGCGGGAGGAGCCCGAGGACTGGGGGAAAGCGGAGGAGGGGAACGGGTGGAGACAACGACGAGGAAGGACTCCGATGTAGATAGAAATCGGGCCCGTGCTGGGGCGGGAGCGCCATTCTGAACGACGGGAGCAAGGCGCCGATCCTGAAACGAGGTCAACGTTGCAGCGGGAGCACAATTTCTGAAATTTCGAGATTGTTCGGATTCGCATGACATATGAACCAAACCAACTTGGACCCATCCCGTGTAAAAGCCATATGTGGAGGGAGGCGCGCCACCCGCATCGCATCTTCGGGGGGAGAAAGGCGAGGAGTATCATCTCGAGTACAATAAAGGCCCGACCACAGGAAACCTTCCACAAGAAACTCAACCCTGGAATCCCAAGGACGTTCATTGATTTTTGGTGCGCGAACATCACGCTTTCCTCAGCAACTCCATCGACCAAGAAACCCAGGGCACCCTGAAGGCAAGCAGGGTGTTTCTTGGCATGGGTTTTCCACTGTAGTCGTAGGAGGGCGCTGGAGCGAGCGATCGCAGAGGGGACGTGCTGAGGGAGCTGACATAAGGGGCGGCTGGGGAGCGAACGGAAGCGTTTGGGGTTCCGAGCGGGCCCCGACGAGATGAGATTCGGCTGACGCGCCACCCATCCGCCTGAAGGCTCGCCGAGCCCCACGGCGTGGCACAGCATTTTCTACGACCGTCCCATCGGGGGTTCCCAAAGGTGCCCCTGGCCCTTGGTGCCCCCAGCTTTTCGCGCGACGTTGGAGCCCCCGGAGCCCTCTGGGCCTCGTGAGGGGTGCTCTGGAGGCCATGAGGGCCTCCTTGGAACTCCTCGGGGAACTCCTGTTCGCAATCATTATGGATGTGGCCGGGGCTGAGGCCCAAAGAACAGTCGCCCAGGGGGGGTGGACGCAGTGCGCGCGTGCCCGCCAGCTGGCGGCCAGCAAAACCCCTCTTCGGTGCGGCAGCGCGGGCGGGCCGGAGCCCACTCAGAAGCCCACGCGCTCAGGGTGATCCTTTTCGTGGCTGTTCCAAGACGTGTGGTCGCCAGCAAGACCTGGCCAATCTGCCGCGTGGCAAACCCATGGGTAGGTAGCATCCCGCATTTTCGGATAAGAATGAAGGGGCGGAGGCGCGGGCGAAGCCAGACGCCCCCAAACGTGGCCCCCAAACGTGCTCCCGATACGTAGGTGGTCCGCATGCGTGACCCCAGGATGCTGCCCACAAACGTGGCCCCCAAACGTGGCCCCCAGACGTGGCCCCAGACGCCGACCCCTAGATCCAACCACGCGCGCGCAGGGAGAATGCAAGACCGTTTGGACCCCCTCAATCTGATATGGAACATCTCATGGGAGCCTCCCCCACCATCTTGTCGGCTCTTGCGAATCGACGCTACATCGACGCTAATCGACGCTAGCCGACGCTAAATCGGCGCTAGCTCATCCACTCCCAGACGCTAATCGGCGCTAAAGACAAGATTAAGAGGGTACACCAGGCTCCCATGACAAATCAGGCATGACCTCTCCACGAAGGTGGGTCCAGCATGCTGTCGTGATGCCATGGGCCCGGGTACGCGATGGCTGCCGACCACGAACGGGCGCGCTCGGAGAGAGCTTCCTGGCAACAACGCTGCCAACGCGCTGCTTCCGGGAGGCGAGCTGGCATGCACGGGAGTGGCAGGGGCGGCTCACAGGAGGGACACCAGCCCAGGGCAGCTGTACACCCTGCGAAATGCTTAAGAAATCATGGGTTAAGAAATTCATAGTCTCAGAACTTGAATAAAAACCCAACATGTCTACTAAAATCTTCAGATTTACATCGAAACGTTAAGAATAATCGAGACTCTGGCCGAAAACTTGGGTTTTCTTAAGCATCGCCTAAGGTGTAGGCAGCAGACGGTCAGACTCCTCTAGGCAGGCCCAGCGAGGGAGGCAAGATGGCCACCGCAGCATGGGGCGAGATGTCCGGCTACGGGGACGAGATGTGGGCGAGGCGGGGAGGCGAGGACGCAGGCAGCCGGGGTGGCCACCGGGAAGGAGAGGGACACGGAGGAGAGGAAATGGCACAGGGGAGGGAGGTCGATAAGGACGGGGTGTTGGAGGGACGGGTGTCAGGATGGCACTGCCGGATGTCTCCGGCCAGGACCTTGCTCCCACGCCCTGCCCTGCAGGCGGGTGGCGTGCCGCTCCACTGGCTCGGGGGCGCGGCTGGGGGAAGCTCGGCATCTCGGTGCTCGGGGCCTGGGACGTGGCTGGAGGCGTGGCGGGCCAGGACTACAGTCGGGCCGCGGAAAGAAGGGACGCCAAGTAAGGACCGAAGCCCCCTCTTGGCCCTGTAAGCGCCTCCGTGCCCCCAGGAGGAGCAAGGGGAACAGCACTGGAGGCACCCAAGGAACATCGAGCCCCTTCCGAACCCAAACTGCTCCTTCTGTCAGCGTCTGGGCTGTGGCGGCGCCCCCGCCCGGCGCACTGGAATCCCAGACTGGGCCCTCGCTTCTGGCCGTCCATCCCGAGCTGCCTCCGCCCGCGGAAGCGTGTCTGGCCCCGAAGGCTGAGACACAAGGTGCGCGCAGGAGCCGGCGAGTCCAAAACCTTGCCGACACCGCCACTCCCCGTCGTGACCAGCATCTCGCGCGGCGCATCCGGCGGTGGCGACGAGGGACTCCAAGAAGGCCCTCACGGCGCAACTCAGGCAAGGGTACAGGTGTCGGTAGATTTCCCCCCCCCCGGGGAGCAGGAAGAGGAGAGCCCACCGAAGGAAAGGCCTGCTCGCCATCTGCTCGGCCTCCCTCCTCGCCTTCTTCGCCTCCTGCCTCACCTTGGCCTCCGCCTCCAGCTGCGCCCTCGCGGACGCCAACTGCTCGGCCTCCTTCTTCTTCGCCTTGGCCTCGGCCTCCCTTCCAGCGAGCTCTTCCGCCGCCGCCCTCGCCTTTGCCTCGGCCTCCTTGGCCGCGGCTTCCTGGCTGGCAAGCTCCTTCGCCTCCTGCTTCGCCTTCTCCTCCGCCTCCCGCTTCGCCTTGGCCTCCGCCTCCCTGCCGGCTTGCTCCTCTGCCTCCCTCTGCGCCTTCTCCTCGGCCTCCTGCTTCGCCCTGGCCTCCGCGTCCTTCCTGGCTGTCTCCTCGGCCTCCTTCTGAGCCTTCTCCTCGGCCTCCCGTTTCGCCTTGCCTTCAGCCTCCTTTCTGGCCAGCTCTTCTGCCTCTTTCTGCGCCTTCTCCTCGGCTTCCTTTTTCGCTTTGGCCTCGGCTTGCTTTCCGGCCAGCTCTTCCGCTTCCTTCTGTGTCTTCTCCTCGGCCTCGAGTTTTGCCCTGGCCTCAGCCTGAGCCTCATCCTGTGCCTTGGCTTCTGTTTCCTGTTTGGCCTTCTCCTCGGCCTCCTTCATCTCAGCCTTCATTCTCGACTTTTCGTATGCCTCCTTCTTCGCCTTGGCCTCGACTTCCTTTCTGGCAACTTCTTCCGCCTCCCGTTTCGCCGTCTCCTCGGCAGCCTTCATCGCCTTCGCCTTGGCTTCTGCTTCGACTCTGGCAAGCTCCTCTGCCTCCCTCTGAGCCCTTTCCTCTGCCTCCCGCTGCGCTTTCGCCTCCGCCTCCTTTCTGGCAAGCTCTTCTGCCTCCCTCTGCGCCTTCTCCTCGGCCTCCTTCTTCGCCTTGGCAACAGCTTCGATTTTAGCAAGCTCCTCGGCCTCCTTCCGAGCCTTCTCCTCTGCCTCCCGCTGCGCTGTCGCCTCCGCCTCCTTTCTGGCAAGCTCTTCTGCCTCTTTCTGCGCCTTCTCCTCGGCTTCCCTCACTGCCCTGGCCTCAGCTTCCCGTCTGGCAACCTCCGCTGCCTCCTTCCGAGCCTTCTCCTCGGCCTCCCTCTTGGCCTTGGCCTCCGCCTCCTTCTGCGCCTTGGCACTCGCCTCCTCTCACGAGTGGCAAGCGCATCCACATCCACGCACTCGCGCTCTGCACTCCGGAGCGCGAGCCCGTGGAGATACGCGGTCGCGTGGGATGCTCTCCGCGCGGGGCATCTGCGACAGAAGGTGCCCCGACACACACGGGGTGGCGCGCCCCATTGAGGCCCTGCCCGCGAGGCCCCTGGATACGGCAAAAATCAGGTCTTCCGCCCAACGATCCTCGCGCGCCCTCTCCTCGGCCTCCCTCTCCGCCTTTACAGCGGCCTCCCAGATGGGGTCCGAGCAGATGGGGTCGGAGGATCGCGCCGCATCGCCACTGCATCGCCGATGCATCGGCGGCGCATTGGCGACGCCGGCGTGGAGAAGATCGAGCTCCACGTGGAGCCGTATCGGCGATGCATCGGCGATGCGGCGCGATCCTCCAACCCCGCCTGCTCCGACCCCTTCTGGGAGGCCCCGAGCCTTGGCCTCCGCCTCCTTCCTCGCCTTCTCCTCGGCCTCCCTCTGGGCCCTCGCCTCCGCCTCCTGCCTCGCCATCTCCTCCGCCTCCCTCGCCGCCCTGGCCTCTGCCCGGAGCCTGGCCTCCTCCTCGAGGGGGGGGGCCAGAGAGCAGCGGGCCTCGGCCCAGGGCCCGCCTCCCGCCCCGATGTGGCCTTTTTTCTGTTGGCAGCCCCAGGGCCCGTGGAGGCTCCTGGGCACCCAGTGACGGCGATGACCCTTCTGGACCTTTTTTTCTACCAGCCTGGAACATATCCCTATCCCTATGTTGGGCATCGCCTCATCACGATGGCGATCTCAAGGATTTCCGCAGTTTCTGAGGGTGTATCCCTAAGATTGTCATCTCCTTTTTGGCGTGTCAATCTTAGGGATCGGGATAAGTTCGAGGCTGGGAACCTCAGGACCCCCCTTTTTCCCTCAGGGCCCGTGGAGGCTCCTGGGCACCCGATGACGGCGATGACCCTTTTGGAGCTCAGTGGGCCCTGGAAACGACAAGGCCGTTTTTTTACCGGTTCCGTCTTGCCGTTTTTGTTGCCGGTTCCGACGCCGTTCTTTTGCCGGTTCGTTGTTTGACCGGTTCCGGCTCTGGTTCCAATCCTGGAACCGTTTTTGTTGCAGTTTCTGGTCGCCGTTTTTTTGCAGTTTCCATTTTCAAGGGACACTGTTTCGGAAACGGTGAAAAAACGGCCCTGCTGTTTCCGGGGCCCACTAAGGACCCGTTTCCCTCAGGACCCTGCTTCCGCGCTGGAGCACCAAACAAATTTGCAACGTTGGGGAACCGTGTGGCGCCCAAGCGAGACCGCGAATGTGCAAAGACTACGCGACCATCGCTGCATGCTGCCGGGTGACACAGGAGGAACGAGCAACGGCATAAACACATTGTCTGAGGTCCGCGCGGATCTCGTGGATCGGCGCTGGGCCCCCCTGGCGGAGCCTCTGGCGCTGCCCTTGGCACACTCCGCGCGCCAGGGTGGTTTGGGTCCAGCGCAGATCTGAGCAATCCGCACGGGCCTTCGACAATTTTTTCATGTGCAGCAGGATTACTCGATCGATGACCCAATCCTGAAGCCAGTAAGTTACCTCAACTGCCGTGCCGATGAAGGGTCCAGCCACGTAGACGAGCCGTCCTGCGAGCGATGGCGTACCGACCGCCACAGACGGGCCAAGAGTGGATGGTTCGAGAATTAGTGATCTTGATATCGAGATCGATAATAAGATCGATAGTGAGATCGGTAGTGGAATCGATAGCGAGGACGATAGTATGGTCGATCGTGAGACCACTATTTCGTGAAGTCGATTCAATGAGATCGATCGTGAGATCGATTGTGAGATCGCTCGTATGATCCGTAGTGAGATCGATTGTGACATGGATAATGAGATCGATTGTGAGATCGATAGTGAGATCGATAAGGAGGTGGGTAATAAGATCGATGATGAGACCGATCGATAAGCAGATCGACCAAGAACACAAGAATCCGAAACCCTGGAACCCCGCCGCCCACCGAAATCGGCCCAAAACCAAAAACCGGGAACCCGGAACCGGGAACCCTGGAACCCAGCCGGCTACCGAAGTCGGCCCGGGACTTTCGCTAAATCGTTCAACATCCGCTAGGACCTCTTCGGTGCAAGCGCTGATCGGGGAGACACGCAACGCGTAGCGCATGGATACGGCACTCAACACGCAGACCGAAAACGTAGGTCTGACGCGACGCCTTCGCCAAGACGTGTGCCAGCACGCTGAACCAACCCGTGTGCAACGTACCCAGAGATCCGACGTCGTGATTTTTTCAATACGGGATCTCCGGAAGTCTCGGCCAGCATTCCCCAGGACCGGCCATTCATCCCGAGTCGTTGTTTGACGGCCCCGGGGCCCGGCGAGGGCCGACAGCTGTCGGCCCTCGACGGAGTTTTTTCTAGATTTTCGGCCTCTAGAGGCCGAAAATCGAGAAAAACCTCCGCCTTGATTTTTTCGATACGTTGGAGGTCTGGGTATCGGCACGGACGTGCTGAGCACCGTGCGTGCTGCGTCTCAACACGTACGGTTCCCGACCGCACGCCTTCCGGGGATCTGGCGCGCGGGCGTGAGTGCAGGGGCCCACCAGCACACAAAGACAGACACACACACACACAAATAGCAGGAATCCCCAGATTGATCCACATGTTCTGGGTTTCTGTCTTCCCCCCCCCCCCACACACTTCCCATAGTTTCCCATATTTGTCCCATATTGGTCCATCTTTTCCCATGCTTTCCTGGGAGTCGACGATGAATTGTGTGTCTGTGTGTGTGTGTTTCTTCCCCTCCTGCGTGGAGGGAGGGCCGCTCTCGGCGGCGCGCCCCGAGGGGGCAGAGAGGGCGGAGAGGGCGCGGGCCTGCTCTCGGAAGGCTCGGGGGGGCCTCCTGGTAGACGAGCGCGCTCCACGGCTCGCAAAAGGGTGACTACGCTGAAGTCGGGCGTGTCCCTCTACACGGGGAGTTGGGGCGAAAAATAAAAGAATACTCAGGAGATGCCCTCCAGATGCTGAACAAAGAATTTCAACAAAAAATCGTCCCCGGACTATTGTTTGACTGTTTCTGAATATTCCCCCTGTAGAGGGACACGCCCGACTTAAGACTACTCGCAAACGGCCTGGATACGCCCCGGGGGATCTCCGACAAATTACCTCAAACCCGACATCTGTCTTTCGGACGTTTGTGAGTAGGCACTTTGCGAGCCGTGGAACGCGCCCAGTGACCTGCGGCCTTCTGGGGAGCTTCCTGAGCTGGAGCCTTCCGAGCCGCCACTTTCAGAAGGCATGCCCCCTCTCGCTTGCACCCTCTCTGCGGCGAGCGAGGAGAAGGCCTTCTCGGAATGCTCAGAAGTCCCCCGGCTTTCTGGACAGATTTCTGAGCCTTCCCCGACTCCCCGATGACGCAACAACTTGTCAGAAGGAGAGGGAGAAGGAGAATGCCTTGTCAGAAGGCGGCGGGGCTTCCCAGAAGCCTCCGCGCCTTCTGAGAGGTGTTCTGTGTCTTCAGGGAAGCCTCAGAGAACTTCTCAGAAGGCTGGGCGGGCTTCCGAGCCTCCTGAGAAGGCCCGCCCCTCCTCGCTTCGCCCCCGGGCCAGCCGCCGATCTGCGGCACTTCGCAGACGGCGCGATGGCTCCTGAGACGTCCCGCCGCCTTCTGACGAGGCCTTTTCTCCTTCTCACTTCCCCCCCCCCTCTCTCGCCGCCGACTCTCAGAGAAGGCATGCCCCCTCTCACCTGCACCCTCGGCGTGCCGCCGAGACGTTCACCGCCCACCAAACCACCCCAACCCAACCCGAAGGCCACGATTTGGTCTCCATTTCCAGTTGGGGGGGGGGGTCGGGGAACATGGAAAAAACAGATATGAAGCCCGCACTCCCCCCCAACCCGAAATTCGGGTCTTCGGGTTGGGTTGGGGTGGTTTGGTAGGTAGTCAGACGTCGATGACGGGTCCGTGGATCTGGCGCGTGGGCGCGGGGGGGAAGCACCCCTGCGTGCTCCCCTCCCGAGGCATGGGGCCAACGCCGCCCGCTCTGGCGACGCCGCGCGGCGACCTCCGCGAGGCAGCGCGCTGCGTCGCCACGCTCCTCCGCGCCCTGCTCCCAGGCTGGAGGCCTGGACAGGGGCACCAGCACCAAGACGGGGGGCTGCCTCCACAGGGGGGAGATGATCCTAGACCTCGGTGCTGGTGGTACTACTTCCGCCACCTTGGAAGCCAGCATATGACCACCATCACCGAGATCGGGATCCTTCTTCCCTCGGTGGAGAAACACCGCCGATATCGGTGCTGGTGTCCATCTCTATAGGCCTGCGAGCCAGGCTCCCGGGCCCCCCGACGCCACGAACCTTTCACGACGTGGCGTGGACCCCCCCACGGTCTGGACCCACTGCCCCCGTGGGGACCGGTCTTCCATCCCGAGGCGGGCCCCGACGGCCCCGACGACCGGCGAGGGCCTCGCGAGGGGCCCAGAAGCAGGAGCAGAGGAGGACTCTGGAGTCCCGGAACGATGCGGTGACGCACCGTGCGGTGACCTCGAAATGCCCCAAGACCTCACCGCACGGTCCGTCACCGCACGGTCTTGGGACCCGAGGCCCCTGTCGCCCTAGACGTCCTCGGAGAACGACCCGAGTCCCAAGACCCTGCGGTGACCCCGAATCCCCATCGACTCACCGCACGGTGTGGTCACCGCACCGTTCGGGGGCCCCCGAAAGACAGAAACGGCATAAGCCAAAAAAACTGATGGCGCTCCGCGCGGATTTCTTGGATCTGCGCTGTACCCCCCTCCCCAGCGCGCGGAGCGCGCCAGGGGCGGCGCCAATAAGGCGCCGCCGGGGGGGGGGCCCAGCGCGGATGCAAGAAATCCGCGCGGAGCGCCAAAAGTTGATGCTTGTGGCGTGTTTTCTCCTTCGAATGAAAGTCCTCCGCCTCCATATGATCTCGATGCGCTGGATGCCTGGGTTTGTTTGTGTTCCTCGGTCGCTCCTCCGCCTCCCTCGCCGCCGTGGCCTCTGCCTCCCGGCGGGCCCTGGCGTCTGCCTCTCTCGACGCCCGGGCCCCGGCCGTCTTCAGCGCCTCCGCCTCCCCGGGGGCCGCCGCGTCCCGCTGCCAGGGCGGCCGGATCCACAAGGAAGGCCCCTGGGACTCGGCCTCCTCGCCCCTCCCCCTGCCTCCTCCCCTTGCCCCTCCCTGCTCCTCGTGCTCCTCCTTCTCCTCCCCCCCTTGCTGCGCATCCCCGTCCTTCTTCAGCCTTGCCTCCTCCCGATCCATCCCCTCCACCTCCTCCCTTCTGTTCGTCCTCTACTCGCCGAGCCGCAGCCGAGGACGCCGGTGGGGGGCGAAACCCAAACGTGCGCCGAAAACCAGAACACCTTCCAACATGGACCCTCCTCCTTCCCCTCCACCCCCCCAAGGTTCAGGCCTGGCGAAAGGGGGGGATAGCAGCGGGGGGTTTACGAATCAGCTCACGTAGCTGATTTTCCCGGCGCCTCCCGGCGCCGGGAGGCGCCCATGCATCGAGGAATGGGCCCCTCTCGGTGGGGCCGAAACCAGCCGCACGCAGCAGATTTCGACCCCCCCCCCTTTCCCAATCCTCCCCTTCCGTCAAAGGCCCGAAGGGTCGAGGGGGACGAGTCTCAGCGCCAACGCCGCCGTCACGCAAGAGTGGTCCCTGGCGGGAGCGGCTCTGGCGCGCGGCGCGCCGCCGGCCAGCGGCGCGGCCTGCGTATGCCGGTGCTCGTCGCCCCGCCCCCTCCGCCCCACGGAGGCCGCGCGCCGGTGGTTCTGGCGGCGAGCGCGGGGGGGGGGGAAGCGAGAAGGAGCGGGCCTTCTAAGAGAGGCCTCCCAAGGACTGCTCTCACGTGGGAGCAGATGGGCCTCGTGATCTTGCCGCGAGGCCAGGGGTATGGGGGGGGCCGCCTGGATGGGGTGCGAGCAGGTGGGGTGCGAGCAGATGGGGTTACGCCCCCGAGCTCGCGGGGAGTCCTGGATGGGGTCCGAGCAGATGGGGTCGAAGTATCGCGCCGCACCGCCAATGCATCACCGATAGATCGGCGATGCATCGGCGATGCATTGGCGATGCATCGGCGACGTCGGCGGTGCATCGGCGACGTCGGCGTTGGGCAACCTGGGCTCCACATCGAGCCGCATCGGCGATGCATCGGCGATGCGGCGCGATCCTCCGACCCCATCTACTCGGATCCCATCTAGGAGGCCTAGATCCAAGAAGGCTCGGAAAGTCCCCGGCCTTCCGAGAAGTTTCCTAAGCCTTCCCCGAAGACAGACACAACAGCTTCTCAGGAGGCGCGAGGGCTTCTGCAAAATCCCGCAGTCTTCTGAGAAGGCCTTCTCCTTCTCATTGCCCCTCCCCCCTCGCTCGCCGCCGGGAAGGTCACCGTGGGCCGCCTGGCTTCCGGGGAACACCCCCGGGTACCCGGCGGCCCTTTGGGGAGAGCCCGGGCGCCCCAGGAGCGCTCTCAGCGAAGGGCAGCTGCTGGAGCGCAGCCAGGGGCAGCATCGTCTCGAGGCACCGCAGAGGGCGCCCGAACACGCCTGGCAGCCACACCAGAGGCCACCCCGGCAGAGGGCCGCTCTTGCGCACAGCCGGGGGCCAACCCCGCGGGCTTGGGCCGCCCCGGGGGCTGCGACGCCGCCGCCTGTCGGGTGCGCCGAGGATGCGGGCAGTGTTCGTGTCCATCTCCGCTGCGTCAGAGGACCGGGTCCCAGCGGATCTGAACACCAATCTGGCCTCCAGGGGCCAAATGTTTATGATGTTTATCCATCGCCACTCCGCCCCTGGCTTCTGGGGAAGGGAGCCCGAGCCTCTAAGACGCACTGGCCATGGACACAAAGCTTGCCCGCCGAAGAGGGGGGACAGAAGGAGTGGGGGGCGGGGGCGCTTCATGTCCCGCGGCGCGTACTCGAACGAGGAATGCCATCGGCCATGAAGCCTGGGGCGATGTTCATGGACCCAGTCCTGGTACCCACCCCCTAATAAGACAAGGCCTGGGCAGGGACAACATCGGACGGGGACAAGTCGGGAACCTCTGAGATCCAGCGGCTCTGGGGTACGTCGTGTGTATAGGTGTAGACATATATATATATACATATATATATATATACACATAGGAGCGTGGGGGTGAATTAGCCAGCGTGGTCCCCAAACAGAGTGTCTCTTGCAGTATATGTTGTGCAATCGACGTGGTGCAATCTATCTGGTGCAGTCTAGGCTGTGCCATGCATCTGGTGCACTAGATGTGGTTATGCAATACAGGTTGTGCAATACTTCTGGGGGGGAATCTATGATCTGCATCATATGTGGTGCAATATTTGTTGTGCACTATCTGTGGTGCAATCTGTAATGTGAACGATCAAGGAGAACGTGCCGCAGCGTAAAATTCTCCGTGCAGTGTACGTGGCCCACGAATCCAAACGGCGGCAACGGGCGGCGACGAGGCGGCGACGGCGGAAGCACAGCCGCCAAACTGCCCACACGGCCCAGACGATCGTCGGACACGAGGCAGCGACGGGACGGCGACGGCCAGAACATAACCGCCAGACCGCCCACACGGCCTAGACGACGGGCGGCGACGAGGCGGCGACGGCCAGCACATAACCGCCAGACCGCCCACACGGCCCGTAGAGGAGAAGCAAGAACCCTGTTCAAACACTGTTTGGAGAGTGTGTGTGTGTGCATCTATATGTATTCATGTGTGTTAATGTGCACCTATATATATATATATATATATATATATATGTATGTGTATATATATATATATAATGTAGACATGTGCGCATCGGCCAGAAAACGGCCCACGGGAGCCGGAAAAACGAACATACCTTTAGAGGGAGGGGGAGGGGGAGGGAGGGGGGAGGGGAAGGGGTAAGGGGTAGGGGTAGGGGGAAAAGGAGGAGGAAGAGGAGGAAAAGGAGGAGGAGGAGGAGGAAGAGGAGGACGAGGAGGAAAAGGAGGAGGGGGAGGGGGAACATCCCCCGCCCCTTTTCTGCTTGCTCGCCAGAGCCCGTGCCGGGCCACCTCGGACCCCGAGCCCCAGCTCCCCCCGCAAGACCAGCTACTCATCCAGACTCGCCCTTTCACCATCCCCGGGGGGTTGTGGAGGGCTCGGGGGGACGAGAACAATGGGAAAACGCAGGGCCCCGCTCCCCTTATGAGTAGGTCGGGCATGTCCTCCTACAGACGGATTTTCGGAGGATTATATATATATATATATATATATACATATCTCTCTCTCTATATATATATACACATACGTTTATATTTGTATATATGGGTGTGTATATATAACGTTCGAATATTCATGCATCGCCGAACAATCTTCCAAATAATCGTCCCCTGACTATGTGTGGACTGTTGCTGGTCATTCCTCCTGTAGAGGGACAGGCCCGGCTTCGTCTCAGGACCCGATCCCTTCGTGGCGACACCTCCTCTTGGGCACCCCCGGCGCCTCCCCGCGGGCAACCGCCCGGGCCTGCCGCTGGGTCTGCTCCACGAACTCCCGCGCCCTCGCCCGCCCCTGCTGCCGGGAGCGGGCGCTCTCGTCGGGCTCGCCCCCCTCGTCCACGCGGTCGGCCGCGTCCTCACCGGGCGAGGGGCGGGGAAAGGGGAGCCTGGAACCATACTTCGCTCGGGTATGTCCTCCTACAAACGGATTCTGGACGAACAAAAATAATAAAGCATATTCCAAAACCGTCTCCTGACGATTCTCTCTGTACTGTCCGCGTGTGATTAACAAGTTCGTGGGGGGCGCGCGTTGGAAAAAATAGTTGCCCTGCTCGGGCGGGGTGGCGCCCGCCAGATTGAAAATCAACGGGGCGGCGCCGGTGATAAACGCCGACGCCCGGCCGCCAACGAGCGGCAAGGGGGGATGTTTGGAGGCAAGGGCGAGCCAGGGCGTCCCTCTTTCTGTCGAACCGATGCGGGCCTGCGAGATCGGCGGGCTGGACGGAAACTGGCGCAGCAAAGGGGGCATTTGCCAAGCAGCTCACGTCGCCGATTTTCCAAGCGCCTCCTGGCGCCGAAAGCGGCCATGCATCGAAGACTGGCCCTTCGGTGGGGCGACCGAAACCAGCTGCGCGCAGCAGGCTTTGCACCCCCCCCCTTCCTTCCCCAGCCTTTCGTCCGACCCGAGCAAGGCGGGTAGTCCTCCTCCCCCCCTCTGTCGCCGTCGTCGCCGCCGTCCCCCGCCCTGCCTGCGCCCGTTTCCAGCGGCCGCTCTCTTCGTCGACGACGACGACGACGGGACGAGGACGAGGACAACGGACGGCGGACGGCGACGACGACGCACTGCGGACGCCCGATGCCCCCCATAGGCTATGGGGGGAGGGGGGTGCTGCGCAGGCCCGCTGTAGTCGACGACGACGACGAAGAACACGAAAACGGAGACGACGACGACGACGAAAACGGAGACGACGACGACAAAGACGACGAAGAAGACGACGACGACGTCGACGACGTCGACGACGACGACGACGGCGACGACGGCGGCGGCGGCGGCAGCGACAACGACGACAACGACTACGCCTGAGAGGGGGGACGAACATTCGCCTCGCATGTGTGATTCTATACGAAAGGCAGCCGTTTGAGGCTGTCATGCAGGGGTGTACAAGATCCCCTCGGCGGCGCCAGCGACGACCCCCTGCCGCGCGTGATAAAAAAAGGTTTCGCGCCCCGCGGGGTCTATTCATCAGCCCCGGGGGTGGGGTTACCCTTTTGTTAATCACAAGCTGACATTAGAGGAACAGGCCCGACTTAAATCTACATCCAGACTACCCTTGGGGGCCCGAGCGGAAAAACTGACGGCAAACTTTCCGCTGGTTTTGTCCTCTGGGTGCCCTTGCCGGCCCATCGGGGCCGTCAAGAAGCCACGCCGCCATGAGAACAACAAAAAAAACGGCCCGGGGACTGGGTCGAGAATTGCGTTAGTTCGGGCCTGTCCCCCTACAGGAGGATCTATAACGAAAAATGTTAAACAATACCCCACAGGTGCCCAAACATATCCAAAGCACAGCCCCCAGACTATGTTTTGCCTATTTGTGAATCTTCCCCCTGTAAGAGGGGCGTGCCCGTCTTAGGACTTGCGGGGGCCGACGTCGTGGACAGAGCCACGGCGTCGGGGCTCCGGGCGCACCTCCGCTGCCCCGGGCCTGGTCCATGCTGGGCCCAAGCGCGGCGCGCGTGCATCCCTGGCCCAGCCGGGAGGGCGTGCGCACCGCTCCCGTGCCCAGAAGGGGCCAGGCCCGGGGCAGCGGAGGTGCAGCAGGCAGGGAGCAGGAACGCACAGAGACCCAAATAACCGCCGCCTCCTGGGAAACTGTGGCAGCGGATGGGTAGCGGGGGGGAAAAGGCACATCGAGAAGATATGGGGGAAGATAAGGGAAATCCGGGGTTTTGAATATCTCTATCTCTCTCTCTCTCTCTCTCTCTCCCTATATATATATATATATATATACACATTTGTATGTCCCTGGGCCCTGGGCCCTCCCAGTGTATAGATCCGGTCGCCCCAGGGAGGGGAGCGGCGGCAAAGCCGCGGGCAGGAGCCTCGGGGCAGGCCGCCGGTGTGCGCGCGCCCGCGCGCCTGCGCTTGCGTTCGTGCGCCCTGGGCCTTGTTTTATGGGGGCAGCGAGGTGATGGAGGGGCGAAGGAGCGTGCACCAGTCGTACCCCTCTTGGGCCCCCAGAGGGGGAGGAGAGGAGGAGGGGGAGGAGGAGGAGGAGGAGGAGGAGGAGGAGGAGGAGGAGGAGGAGGAGGAGGGGGAGGAGGAGGGGAGAGGAGGAGGAGGAGGAGGAGAGGAGGAGGAGGGGGAGGAGGAGGAGCAGGGGGAGGAGGAGGAGGAGGAGGAGGAGGAGGAGGAGGAGGAGGAGGAGGAGGAGGAGGAGGAGCAGGAGGAGAAGGAGGAGGAGGAGGAGGAGGCTCGCCGCCGAGCACTTCCTCCCTCTTGCCCCTGCCCGCGGGGAAGAGACCACTCTCCAGGCTCGACTCAGCGGCCTGCACGCCTTTCTCCACCACCACCCCATCGATCACCTCCCATTGCGCAACGCCCGATGCGCGCTTGCGCGCCCGCGCACGGGTGCTCGTGCGTCTGCGCGCCCACGCGCCCGTGCGCCGGCGCTCCAGCGCGCGCACACACGTCCGCGCACCTCGCGCACGCGCGGCTGCGCTTGAGCGCTCGCGTGCGTGCCCGTCCTGCCCTTGACGGGTCTCAGGTCTGACAGGGGGGGCATGACGAGCCCGATCCCCGACGTTTGTGGGGGTCTCCGACCAGGCCAAGGATTCGGGGCCCCCTCCGGGGACACGCCATAGGGAGGCGCCCATCCTCGATCACGGCGTGCGGCCGAAGAGCTCCCCGAGGTATGTCCCCGAGCACCGCGGGAGTCCAAGAGTCTCGGCTCGGCGGCCAGGGGGGGAGGCAGAGCGGGCGGCCCGCCTCTTACTCTCAGGTCGGGCATTTCCTCCTACAGGCGGATTCTGGGCGATAAACAAAAAATAGCCAAAACATGCCCAGCAAATACTCAACACAAACTAGAAAAAAAGCCGTCCCCAGACTGTTTGATTGGGCCTATTTTTGAACAGTCCTTCTGCAGAAGGACACGCCCGACTTCATCTTACTCTCAGGGAGGCCCAGCCCAAAGCCACACTCGGACCAGGCGCAAAAGGGGGGGGATAGCAAAGGGGGGATGGGGGGATTGAGAATCAGCTCACGCAGCTGATCTTCCCGGCGCCTCCCGGCGCCGGGAGGCGCCCATGTATCCAGGAGTGTGCCCGGCGGCGGGGCCGAAACCAGCTGCGTGCAGCATCAGATTTCGTACCCCCCCCTTTCCCTATCCCCCCCTTTCGTCCGGCCGCCGTTCAGGACAACCCGGCCACCCCCGGAACGCCCTCGGCGAGGCGCTCTTTGAACGACCCCTCTGTAGAGGAGGAGGAGGAGGAGGAGAGGAGGAGGAGGAGGAGGAGGAGGAGGAGGAGGAGAAAGAGAAGAGGAGGAGCAGGAGGAGGAGGAGGGAGGAGGAGGAGGGGAGGAGGAGGAGGAGAGGAGGAGGGGGAGGAGGAGGAGGAGGAGGAGGAGGGAGGAGGAGGAGAGGAGGAGGAGGAGGAGGAGGAGGAGGAGGAGGAGGAGGAGGAGGAGGAGGAGGAGGGAGGAGGAGGAGGAGGAGGAGGGAGGGAGGAGGAGGAGGAGGAGGAGGGTGAGGAGGAAGAGAACGAGGAGTAGGAGTAGGAGGAGGAGCAGGAGGAGCAGGAGGAGCAGGAGGAGGAGGAGGAGGAGGAGCCTCGGCGAGGCGCTCTTGGAATGCTCCTTCTGTAGAGGGGCATCCCCGACCTGCTGCTCGCACGGCCCCGGCGGGCGGCGGGCCCCTGCCCCTCCGTGCGGGGCGGGGGCCTCGCCCTGCCTATGTATGCCGTGGCGCCGGGAGGCTCCCTCGGTGGGCAGGTGCACTCTTCTGTCAGGCCGGGCCTGGCCCTGGAAACGACAGGGCCGTTTTTGTGACCGGTTCCGTTTCGCCGTCTTTGTTGCCGGCTCCGACGCCGTTTTTTTGCCGGTTCCGACGCCGTTCTTGTTGCCGGTTCCCGCTCCGGTGCCGAGAGCCGTTTTTGTTGCCGTTGCCGGTTGCCGTTTTTTTGCCGTTTCCATTTTCAAGGACTTTTTCGGAAACGGTGAACAAAACGCCCTGCCGTTTCCGGGGCCCACTAAGGGCCTGTCCCCCTACAGGGGGATTTTGGACGAAAGATGCAAAATACCCCAAAAATGCACAAAGAAGCCCCAAAATACGCAAAACAAGTCCCCAGACTATCTCATGACTGATTTGGAATATTCCCCCTGTAGAGGGACAGGCCCAACTTAACTCCTTTGAGCACGGACGACCCCTTCGGATTTCCTAGTCCTACCACGACATGTTCTTAGAGCCCATAAATGCTCTAAGAACAAGAACACTGTTCCTAGAACATAAGCTCGTCGTGATAGAACAAGGCAGGCTTCCAGAAATGCTCTGAGAACATTTCATGAACACACAACAAGTTCTTAGCACATTGTTTGGTCGGTCTGTAGGCGAGCCAGGACGCTTCGCCACTGCTTGAACTCCTGCGCGACTCGCGCCGCCGTCCGTCCAGCAAGGTCCTGCGGACAAGGATCTTCTGGACCTCAGGGAGGGTTCGGAGGGTCCGGTGGCAACTCCTGGGAGCCTCCCGTACCGTCTTGTCGGCTCTCGCGAGTCGACGCCCATCGACGCCAAATCGACGCCAGATCGACGCCAATCGACGCTAGCCGATGCTGAATCGGCTTCGGCAAGGACGCCGCCGCGGTTGCCGCATGCGCGGGGGCCGGGGACGGCCCGACGCCCGCGGGCCTCGAGCCCGAGCCCTCCGACGAGGACGGCGAGGCCGACAGGTGCACCGCCCTGCCGGGCGCCGTGCTGGAGCCGCGCGCCCCGGCTCCGGCGCGGCCCGCGAGAGAGGAGGCGAGGAGGACGGAAGGAGGGGGGCGAAGAGCCAGCGTCGGCCGGGCCTCGGGGAGGGGAGGGGCAGGCAGAGCTCGAGGAGCCCCCCTATGGCAGTGCACCTGCTCGACGCCGCTTGAGGCCA